CTACTTTGAACAAATGCGAACGCGAACCATTCGATAAAACGTCAAAAATTATCCTAAAGAATTAATTTCAGCCCAAAAAATGTAATCGAAACTTTTTCGTGAATAAAGAAAAGCGTTGTAAATAAAATGTTTTCTAGCACGACAAGAAATAATCACCAGAGATACCGGAAGGACGTATCAAATTAATGGAGTTCGCTCTGCAAAAATATGCGCCCTGCTATGCAGGGCTCTTGCACATTCGCGACACGCTTTCGAAACATCGAAAGCCTGACGGCCAGTTGGGAATTCCGGGGTCCCATGGCCATGGCCTAGCTCCGGGTCCAATCCGCAAAACAAGTGCTCCGGGCGGGGGTCGAACCCGCATCCTACGGCTTTCGAGTCCGATGCTCTCCCTATTGAGCTACCGAAGCACGCGGAATGCCTCTCTCGGGGCAGCTATCCATGCCGGCCCCTCACATCCAACTTCTCTTCTCTTCGGAGGGCGCAGGTTCGAATCCTGCGGATGACATTTCTAGACCCAGGTGAACTCAAATGACCTTTAAAATGATTTAATCTTGTTCAGGCCATCACAACCGATCAAAATTACGCCAATATGATCGATATTTGTGCCAATAATTTCGATTTTTTGAAACACGGTGCGCTACGACGGGAACTACTAAAGCGGTTTCCGCCAATTCTGGACAAGTACCACCTATACGTCGTAAGTTATACAAAATATTCTCCCAAAAAAATTTAGCTGTACCTACAAAACAAATACGTCCCTCGAATGGAGGAAATCCAAAAGTACCTCGAGGCAGGCGTCGAGTGTTACGAATGCGACACCTGCGATCGGCTGGCAAGCAACGTGCAACTCAGGGAGAAGAAAATTAACTATCAGGTAATTTTGGATAACACAGACAATTTTAAATTTTTCGGCATGGTCATAGTCAAATCGCTAAAGTGCTAGCGCCAAATTTTCGAAATTCGGACTTAAGAGGTTCTTGAAAAGACCATGGAATAATATTTTGCATAACTTAAATAAGGGTCTGGCTCAGGAAAATGTGCGCTTTTGAATGAGTTATCTGGCGAACCGCTTTCTCGAATTTTTCGAAATGGTATTACATTAACCGGCTGTCTACCCATCCCGGTTTAGCAGATATGCTGAATTTGGGGTCTTTCGCATTATCGTCGGGACAACTTTTTCTTACGAGCTAATTTTACAAATATGAATAGTGGAAGTGTTTTTAAATGGTTTTTTACTATTCCTGAACGTGAAAAAAGTACAAATTTGTATTAAAAATACCGATTTTTCGACCAAAACATCTACTTTTTAATGTTTTTTTTTGGATGGTGTTTCCTTGTTCCGTTGATTCCGCTCTAAACCATGGTCAGTCGCCTCGGGGGCAATCGGAGCCGCGCTCGAATTAGCTTAAAGAACATATCTCTTCAGCTCATAGAGAGCTTTCGATAGATACCTAAATCGTAAAAATCCGACATCACTGCGGACCGCTAGAGGAGAGCTCTCTTTTTTGGGACACCCTGTATTTTGCAGGATCCATATCAATGTTTCAGGATGCGTCGAGAAGATTCGATCGATAAATCGTAGCATGTAATACGCAATCCTTCGGATTTCGTCTAGGGAATTGCTGCGGTTCCACGGAAAATGCGGGCTGGATAGCGTAGTGGAACAAACCGTAAGTTTTTCTTGCAGTTTTCACACTCTGCGCTTTTAGTTAAACCCCAACAATGAACGGCTCTTCCTTCATACCAATATGGCCGACGATTATGAGCTACCTCAGCGTAACTATCTACTAAAACGTAAGTTCCATAATTCATCAAAAATCCATTTAATTTTGGTAAAAATTAAGTTTGTCGGCATTTCATTTTCTCGAAATTTCGCTTTGTCAAAAGTCGAGCAGCTTTATTTTCTCTTTTATGCGCACCAGTTAATAATAAATGATGTTGTCCATAGCGTTTTTAGTAGCTTTTAATTGCTAGAAGCATCTATAATAGTTGCAAATCCAAAATTATTTTATGAAATTTGAACACTTTGATTTTTTTTGCATTTTCGTACATTTTTAAACAATCAACCAAAAATTTCGAAAATTTTTTCCAGACGGCGAAAACCACTATCAACACGACCTCAGGACTATGCGGCCGCAAAAATTGAAGAGATGCCACGAAGGACGAAGCGAGGTAAATAGATTTCCAGACTTAATTCAGCCTAAAACCTTTAATTTTTAATCCATGAACGTGAATTTTTCTCGCTCTCATTTCTCTCTCTCTCTCTCTCTCTCTCTCTCTCTCTCACACACACTCTCTTGCCTTTTCGCCCTAAATCGATATTTTTTTGAAGAAACCGTGCTTTTTAGAATAACCAAAGAAGCGGTTTGACGAATGGGTTGTTAGCCACTACGACAGAGTCGGGAACGAATAACAACGTATACAAGGTGGCGTTTGATTGAATAAACGCCTGCAGCAAATTTTATTGTAAACAATGAATTAGAGACAGACAGAGACATATAGTGAGAGAGCGGGAGAGCGAGAGAGAGCGAGAGAGGCAGAGAAAGAGAGAGAAAAAGAAAGGAAAGAGGGGAGATATCAATCATGCCTTGAATCGGATTATAACGTGTTTTTGCCAATTAATCGCAGGAATCGACGCTAGCAGCGGAAATCGGACCGGAGAAAAACCTGGAATTAAAATCTTGTGATTTCAGTGTGGCGAAACTCAGAGCATCGAATTTTAAGAAACACGATTTTTCGAACGCAAATTTGAAAACGAATTTTAGTTTTCGAGCTTCCTATTTCAAGAGTCTGAAACTTCAAGATTCTGCAAATTTGTTATTATTAAAATTCGACGTTCTGAACGGATTTGCAGGTATGCAAATTCAAGATTTTGGAACTTTAAAATGGCTTATTTCGGAAAATTCGAGGCTCTCAAACAATTCGCGCGTCTAAATTTCAAGATTCCGGTTCCGAACGCCGCTTTTCGGAATGCGAAAAATCAATGAATTCTAGGTCCCGCCGGGCGATGTTTGCGTTTCCTAGTCTCTTTTAATCCCAAAAACGTGGACTCCCAGACTTTCGATTTCAGTTTAAAAAAATTCTTGCGATCAGAACGTGTCGGAGACGGAGTCTACTTCTGAACGTGATAAGACCCAAATCCGACTACGCACACATCTGGCAACACCTGATTTTTGGTTGGGAATATTGTGAAGTGTGTGTGGGGAACATGTGATCAGCGATTGTGGGTCTCTCTGATCGACTAGATTCCCGATTTGGTCGCTTGTTGAGCGGAATTTTGACGAAGGTGCCGGATTTAGCCACTGCTTATACAGTCCTCCCGGGAATCCCCGGGGCGAAGGTCGCTGATAAGGAGACATTTTTGGCTCGACTGTTGCCTTATAAAGAGCGCGCATCCAGAGGTGTACTACGGAATTTCGCGGAATACGGTATGAATCTCCTTTTTTTTGGATTGCAAAATACGATCCGTTTTCCTGCCACAATTAGCAACTAAAAATTTATTTTAACAAAATTTCTCCAAGAATAAAATTGCCCGTTTTGTGCACTGTTACTTGTGCGTGTACCGTTATCAATTTTTTCGCAAAAAAAAAACGTAAATAATCGGAAATGGCCGATTTTCCCCGACTGTTCTCGTTTTGGAATTTTTCATTTTATTTTTGTTTGTTGGCTTGATTCGTTTTTTTCTGCGAAATAAATTATAGCTATTATTTTAAGATTAACAAAAATCTTGTTCGGGTTCTATCATGCTTTTCGTCAACGAAGACAACTTCGAAAAGGAAAAATTTGAGACCCTTTCAAAATTTTGTAAAATTTCATTCTAGGAATGTTTGATTTTTCAGTAATTTCTGTCGTGATTTGCTTCAAATAACAACTCTACGCCCTTTTACAGTATGAAATTTCTCCTAATCCTGGCTGCCCTCGTCGCTGTCGCCTTGTCGGCAGCTGTAGCCGTGCAGCCGGAGGAGCGCAACAAGATCGAATGCAAGGCTTGCGAGGATCTGGTTGAGGTAGATTAACAAACACAATAATCTGGAAAAATTGATGCATTCAAACCACAATTTTTCAGCTAGCCGAAAAGGAGGGCGGCAACGAGATCGAGAAGTTCTTGCACAGCAAGGTGGCCGAAGTGTGCGACTTTGCCGCTTTCCTCAAGCATGAGTGCGAGAAGGTGCTCGACAGCGTGAGTTTTTGAAGCTTGGAAAGCTAAACCTAAGCTAATCTTAAGCTAAGCCTAAACTAAGCTTAAGCTAAGCCTAGGCAAGTCTAAGCTAAGCCTAAGCTAAGCCTAAGCTAAGCTTAAGCTGAGCCCAAGCTAAACCTAAACTAAGCCTAAGCTAAGCCTACCTCACGCGATAACAACGTTTTTTTAGAAATGCAACGAGCTGGTCGACTGGGTCCGCCGCAAGGAGCCGCCGGCCAAGGCCTGCAAGGGCGTCCACTGCTGCTAGACGATTTCTGATGTACAGCTATAAATATTTTCGGCATTTTGTATTCCTCGCCAACTGTACGAAATACATTACAGCACGCGTCATTTTTAATAACAGCTTGATCAGAAATATATAAATAGACCTTCAGACGCGGTGCGATCATGAATAAAACATTAATTTCTATAAAATCCAGGCCCTGGCTAGGTTTTTGTATTTTTGAAAATGACCCAAATGCTGTTCTGGTCCGCCGCACGTCTGCTCACGGTCGGAATGGCTTTGGGGGAATCTGTGGTACGTTCCAAGCAACATTTCCAGATCGGCAAGGGCTTACTTTACGAAAGATTTCCGGGCTCGGTTGCACCTAGAATTTGGGCTTTCTGCGTCGTGTTTTGACAAGATTTCCGATGCTTCCAAAGTTTCACACCCGTGATCTAGCAGCCTTACAAAAAATCATTAAGAACGCCGTTCTTTGAAAAAAATTTCTTTCTGCGAGTTTTTTTTTGGGAAACAGCATAATTCAGCGGCAGGGCCGTAAGCTGGAATTTTCCAGAAAAAAAAAGAATTTTCATACGAAGTTTGAAAAAACAGCGTTTTATGTGAGTAGCGATCGGTTTCCGCATTTGGAGATGTTTTGGGTGGTCGGAATTTTCCGCGGACGTCCGTTTCGTCTTGTACAACCTGAGACTCACAGACGACCGGCCGCAGCCGGTGATCTAGTTGGCGCAGAACTGCGAAAAACCTCATAATTTTCGGTGAACGGAAAATTTGGTGAGATCAATGGGGAAAAGCTGAATTTTACAAAGCAATTGCGTAAAAATTCAACATTTCGAATTCAGCGCGTTAAAAAAATCCTGAATGGAGAGCCTAATGTATGTATATGTATATGTATCCTACTATATATAAAAAAATAGTGTCTGTGTGTGTGTGTGTGTCTGTGTGTGCCACTTTGCATCCACTTCCGGCTGTCTGTCCGGAGGATATCTCGATAGGGGATGAATTTTAAGGTATGTATGATACGTCATTAGATGCGTAATGGCCTGGAGATGACTGCACGCATATCAGGTTTAACAAAATCACCTATTTTCGACATTAAATTTAAGTTTTTGTGAAAACCTCTTTGTTAGGAACAATTAGCGTAGACCGGAAGTGGGGATTCGACTATATAAAGGGGCTAAACAGGTACTTTTTCATTTTTTGTTATCTGAATTCAGGAAAATTATGCAAAGTGAAGGATAAAACTGGGTCAGACGGGGCCAGGGTTGAAAAGTCGCGAAGCGGCTTTTCAACCCTGGTATGCAATAAAAAAATAGTGTTTGTGTGTTTGTGTGTGTGTGTGTGTGCCACTTTGAATCCACTTCCGTCTGTCTGTCCAGAGGATATCTCAAGAAGGGACGGGTATTAGGCTACGTTAGATACGTCATTAGGTGCGTAATGGTCTAGGGATGACTGCACACATATCAGATTTTTAAAAATTAGCCATTTTCGCTATTAAATTTAGGTTTTTGTAAAAACCTCTTTGTTAGGAATAATTAGCATAGACCGGAAGTGGAGCGGTCGCCTATATAAAGAGGCAGAAACGGTTGTTTTCATTTTTTGTCTTCTGATTGAATGGAGGACAATTATGCAAAGGGCAGAATAGTATGGTGTCCGAGACGGGGCCAGGGTTGAAAAGTCGCGAAGCGGCTTTTCAACCCTGGTGTATATGCAAAAAAAAAGTTGGTAGAAGAGTTGATTATAAGCATCTACTAAAGTACGTTCGGGCAAACGCTCAGTGCATAAGGGGAAAAGCGGTCTCTTTCAGGAGCACCTCCGTCGAGCCTCCGCGGGAGACCCGATCACGATCGCTGACTACCCATACGCGGCTCTTCTAGTCGGCACGCTCGACCTTGACGGCGTCACCCACGCACGCCACTGTTCTGCGTCGATCGTGGCGCCATACTGGCTGCTGACCGCCGCCCATTGCCTGTACGATCAAAATGATGAGGGGTTCGGAAACAAGTGGTAACATGAAAGCCATGCCCTTCCAGCTACCGGATGGACACCTTCGAGGCTATAGTCAACAGCAGTATCCGGGGCGGAGCTAAAGGATCGGTAAGGTGATTGACTGCGTGTGAAAGTAGCCCCCCGCGTTTCAGCAAGAAGTTTACGGCGCGCAGACGTTCATCGCACCCGGCTTCGACATAAAAATCAACAAGAGCCGTGGCGATATCGCGCTCATCAAGGTGGGTCATTGTCAAATGATAATTTCGAAGTTGCATAATTTCGAAATCTCAGAATGTCGGAATCTCAGAATGTCGGAATTTCAGAATGTCGATTCTTAATATATCGAAATATCTTGAAATTTCAACATTATGAATCTAGACAAATATCGGCATTAGAATTTCTGGTTCTTGAGTATTCCCGGGGCGGGGGGAGATTCGCGGGGGGACACCGAACTTTTTTCGGCTCAAGCCTAAATTTTTTATATAAATAGTGGAAGCGTTTTCAAATTGTTTATAGCTATTTCTAAGCATAAAAAATTACAAAATTTGATTAAACGATTTAATTTCAGGTCGAAAAATCATTTTTTTCGACCAAAAATGACCAAATTTTCAACTTTTTCAAGCGTTTTTCCAACTTTTTAAAAAGTTTTTCCGATCGATATAGGCTTAAATTTTGCTAAAAACGATGCGAAAATACTTTATATTTGATTACTATCCCCACCATGGCCGCCAGGAAACAAGTTGGTCCCCCCCCCCTCCGGGAAGAACCGAATTTCGACATCCCGAAATTTCAGCATTCAAAATTTCGACATTGCGGATATTCGACACTATGAAACTTCGCCATTCCGAGACTGCAACATTACGGTCTTCGTCCATATCAAAAGGCAATATGCTGAAATTTCGGCATTATGATTTTCGACATTATGAAAGCGCCGCGTCATGAAGTTTCGATATTATAAATTTCACAATTTTTAAAATTAATTGAAAACGTCCAAGCCAGTTCTTTTCCAGCTGAAGGAGCCGATCGTTTTTGGGGACAACGGCGGCTCGCCCAGCGCGATCACCTTGCCAAAGCCGGCTGGCTGGCTGCGCAAAAGCGCGGTACGCCATCACATTGTCAAGTGGACGGATTATGTGACGCTGGACGGCCCACCAGGTATGTTATTGAAGGGACAAAGAAGTCTGGTCGAAGCTCCCCTACGACGATTCACGGTAAACACAGCCAGAGGATTTTTCTTGTATTGATAGCAAGTAGTTTATCGATAGTAATTACTAATTATGCAGTATCGCTTCGGTTTTTCACCAAAAATTCCCGAATGCGCGAATCTTTACTTTTTAGCCCCTTTAAAGGTACGTTCCACGCTAGTTAAAAAATCCGGGTCGGCGGCAAGAATTCGGCTGTCCGGCGGCCGCGACCTTCGACCCTTCATAGCTCCTCGCCCCCTCCCCTTCTTCTCTCCATGGCCGAGTGGTCTAAAGCGCTTGCCCTAGGCGAGCGCTCCGGGTTCGGTTTTGCCCGACTTTTAGCACCACCGTAACCCGGCATTCTAAAACACAATTTGTCCATTCAACATTCAACATCTACACAAGATCTTAGACCATTCAAACGAGAGCCGACTGTACCTTTAACGTGCCTAGTACCTGCACAGCCTCCTCACGTCCTCCTCACGTGCAGCGCACGAATTTTTAGGCCCTACGGAGGGTAAGCTCAGGCAGTTCGACGCCTTTCCTACCGCCGACGAGAGTGCGTCGCGGAGTATCCCGGTATCGACCCGGTTTCTCAGTACTGCCTGAAAGCCACGGACCGCTATGGAGTAGTCTGCAGGGTGGGCGGTTTAAGTTGGAATTTTTCATGCAAAAGTTATTCTTTTTTGTCTCCAAAAACTAAAATGATCCGCTCAGGCTCTATCTGGAAATTTAGGGCCATGCGGGTGGTGCGAGCGCGACCTATGTATCACGCGGCGGCCGCAGCTTCTGGGTCCAACCTGGCGTCACCATCAACCGGGACTGCCCCTGGGGAAACAGAGCGCCAAACTCGCGTACGTTTCAAGCCACAATTTTTTATAAACAATTCAAATTTTAACTCGGACTTGTTTCCAAGGCTGATGATTTCACGACTTTTTTCTAGCTCTGCTCACCGACGTCTCGCAATACTGTGATTTCATCGAAAAGACGACCGGGCAAGAGCTTTGCGTCGACGTGCCCGAGCTGAAATGACCAGAATAAATTTGTTGATGGATCACGTTGACGATGAACCCTTAAAATGGAATTAATTACATATTAAAGAGGCACATTCAGCAGCGCCGGTTTTCCATAAACTTGGAACAATTGCAGGCATTTCCGGTTAGAGAGCGAGCCCTGGCGAGAGGCGAAGGCGTTTCACATGCAAACTTTCCACAATTCGTGGAAAAACGGAGATGTGCATGCCCCTTGAAGGAGGCAGGAGAAGTTTTATCTAGATCTTTGGGTACACTTAAAAATGATAAATAATTCCGCTCAAAATTATTGATTAGGATAAAGCGAAATACCAAAAAGTGACGTTGCATATGCGTTTCGGCAAGCAACAATTTGACTGAGGAGACAAAGGTCTTGAAAATACCGAAGGATGCATGATTTTTTGCTACGAACAGGATTTTTTCAAGAAATCGTTTAAAATCAAACGCGGATTAAAAAATTTGTGTAAAACGACAAGCGCCTGTTTTCTCGCCATTTCAAGGGATTTCAAATGGTGTAAAAATCATCCCGATCCGACCTTGCTCCCGACCGCTATAGGGGGGGATGTTTTTTACGAGACACCCTGCATATAATTTTTAGAAAGGGTTCCCCTAAAAGACCACTCCATCGGCTTATCGATCCGCCTCTGATTCATAATTTGTAAATAAAATATAAATATAAAATATAAATTAATAATTTTATTCCTTTTCGCCGTTATGAAAACCGCACCCTAGTCTCTGAACCCAACGGCAAACAAAGCTGAGCAACGAATCAAATAGAAGAATAGCATAATGCAAGAAGAGGTGGTGAATTGGCAGTTGAACCGCGCCAACGGCACACACATTTTGAACGATTCCTTTACAAACCACGGGCACGGGATTTTGATGGTGTTTGCGGTGTGATTCTGGTGTGATGACCGACCAAATGGCATCCCCAATGGCATTTTTGAGACGGTGAAAAAATGTTAAATTGGTCCGATGGCTGTATAAAAGGCCGTGAGGTCGATCAGAATCTCACCAACCGCCAAAGATGTTCGCAGCAGTCATCTGGGTATGTGTATTTTTAAAAAATTCACCCTAAAAATTAGCTCAAAAAAAGCTGATAAATTTCTCTATCACTCTCTCTCGCTCACTTTCTCTATCTCTGTCTCTCTCTTCTACCTCTCTCACTCTTTCCCTCTCTCTCGCTTCGCCTCTCTCACTCTCTTTCTGACTATCTCTCTCCCCCCCCCCTTTCTCACTATCGTTATATTTTCCGATTTATCGTGCTCTTTCTCTCTCTAGCTCACATTCTGACTCGCTCTTTCTCTCTCTCTCTCTCTCTCTCTCTCTCTCTCTCGTTCGCTCCCTTTCTCTCTCAGTCTCTCTCTCTCTACCTCACTTTCTCCCACTCCGCTCGCTCTCTCTTGCTCTGTTCCTAAAAATCTCTGCTAGTCTACCTGGGTTACGGTAACCAGTTTCCAAAAAAGACGAGGTTTTTGGCTAACGGTCTCTGCAGCTTGCCTACATTTCCCCTCTGTAGGCCTCCCTCCTCGCCGCGATCAGCGCCAACTATGCAGTCTACAACATCAACATCTACGGAAGTGGGTTTAGGCTTTTTTAAGGTCTCAAAGGTTCTGCTTGCTGGGCTTAGGCTTAGACTGAGCTCAAAGTAGACTTAAGCATAGCTTAAGTGACTTCACGAACTTCGAAACCCCATTTTTCAGCTGAGGCTTGTGGCGCCAGGGTCAACGTGCAGCGCACCGATATCCGAGCTGTCGTCGACACCACCGGAGCTTCAACGTAGGTTTTTCCATTGTTTTTTTAATCTTTTAAAGATATCCAGCAGCGACATAACTCGCATTTCAGCCTGAAATTCTACGGGCTGAACAACGCGCAGACTCTGGCCGCCGCCATCGCCGACGACGCCAACATCCCGCTTGTCGCCACGCTCACCAACAACTCGAAGTCGGTCACGGTGAAGAGCTACCTGAAGGTACGAATCCAGATTTGAAGCTCTGATTTCTGGAACTAGGGAAAAGTTACCGCCACTCAGACGATCCTCGGCAACGCCAAGGCTTACAACTCGGCCGATGGGAAGGCTGCGTTTATGACTCGGTAATTTTGAGAAATGTTGTTTCTTAAAGGGACAGCGTCAGCAAGCTGTTCGGCTTCTAAGACGCGTACTAGACACCACAATAGAAGCAAAAATTGTAATAATTTCATTAATTAACGAGTTGCAGTAGGGTCAAATGACGGCATCGTCGTTTTGGGTGCTGCGTTGCGTTGCGTTGCGTCGCGTACTCTCGCTTTTCAGCTTCCAACGCAACACCTGGAAGAGCTCGACCGGCACGATTCTTCAGATGTACCAATACATCGATGACACCACCGTGAGGATTTTTTAGGGTCGTTGACTCCTTCATTTTCAGCTCGTCTACAGCTACGAGCTGTCCCCTGGTGATGTCCAGATGGTGCCGATGTACCTGGGAATAGACGGCGCGTTCACCGGAACCCCTGTCTTCTACCAGTCTATCCTGTAGGTGACGGTGCGACAGAGAGAGACAGAGAGAGAGAGAGAGAGAGAGAGAGAGAGAGAGAGAGAGGAGGGAGAGAGAGAGCAGAGAGACAGAGAGAGAGAAAGAGAGAGGCAGAGAGAGAGACAGAGAGAGAGAGGACAGAGAGAGATAGATAGATAGAGAGAGCGAGAGAAAGATAGAGTGAGAGAGTGTGAGAGAGGAGAGAGAGCGAGAGAGAGTCGGATAGATAAAGAGAGAGGGAGAGATAAAGTGAGAGCGAGTGGGAGTGAGAGAGAGAGAGAGAGAGGGGAGAGAGCCTAATAAAAGCCGAGACAGCTATCTGCAAAAACTGTTTCATGAGTCCATTACCATAGCGAAGGTTCGCTTTTTTCTACCGGTGTTTTTGCCTTGCTAGTACCTTTAAACTACCGTCTATATAGGTGCGTCGACGGTACCACCTGGACGACGGCCATCAACGGCTCGACCAGCACCTCGGCCTCCACCACCACTAACATCACCCCCACCACCGCTTCCATCTAAAAAAAGTGGAAAGCACGGATATGCATTATATTTGAGTTTTTGGGGGGATAAATCTTTGGTTTGGCAGTGCGAAAAATAGAAGACGACACGAAAACCGCAATGTCTGAAGTAAGATAGATCGTCGACTAAGAAAAAACATCGACTCAAAATTTGCATCTAGTGCTTTGCAAAAACGGAATTTCCTTTCCGGAGGCGGGGCGAAAATCAGCGCCATCCTCTCCCGGCTCTCCTCCTCACCCGGTCGTGATGACGCCTGGAAAGACCAAGAAGAGCTCCTCGGTAAGAGTTTACTTTCTTTTCTTTTATCCAAATCACACCAGGGCAACGAATACTTAGCTACGCTCTTCACGGAAAATACTCTCAACAAGACGATCGATCAGCTCAAGGCTGAGTTTGCCGAGGTCCCCAGGTTTGTGGGTACAATTCAAATAGGCGGGGGAAGTTTTAGGCGGGGGGGAAACCAACTTTTTTTTTGTCGGCTCTGGTGGGGATAGTAATCAAATATAAAGTGTTTTCACATTGTTTTTAGCAAAATTTAAGCCTATCTGAATCGGAAAAACTTTTTAAAAAGTTAGAAAAAACGCTTGAAAATGACGAAATTTTAGTCATTTTTGGGCCGAAAAAATTGATTTTTCGGCCTAAAATTAAATTTTTTAGTTAAGTTTTGTAAAGTTTTATGTTTAGGAATAGCTATAAACAATTTAGAAACACTTCCACTATTTATATAAAAAAATAGGCTTGGGCGGAAAAAAGTTCGGTTTCCCCCCCGCCTAAATCTTTCCCCCCCCGCCTATTTGAATTGTACCGGTTTGTGTACCAACGTGTATTTTATGTCTTACGTCAATACAATCTATTTTATAGCGTAGCTTCATAGCCATTAGGGTATGTAATCGCGGCCCCCTCAAAAAGTCGTTTTCGCTCCCAGAATTTTTCGGTTTTACTCAAATATTGCCGTTTTTCGCCACGAAATCACTTTTCGGGTATGTTTCGCCGGGTTAGAGTGCAGTTTACCCCCTCCAGCCGGCACCGAACTTTTGTATCTCGGCTCCCGGTTTATCTACAGGTGTTTAAAGTATACCAAAATGTTCGTCTTGCTCTGGCGAGTATTTTGGTATACTTTACCGTATGCACGAAATTCGACTTCCGAGCCTTTAACCCGGTTGAATTGAGTTTTTGACGAAAAAGCGTGTGGTAAGGGTCTAGGAAACCCCCAGCCGGCCACAACTTTTGTATCTCGGCCCCCCTTTGTGCTAGCGAACTCTAACATACCAGCCGATTACAGCCGCTTCGCGACTGCAATCGGCTGGCCTCCGGGCTACCCTCGATATTCTACACTACCCCCCATGGCTGAAATCCCCTTCAAAAACTACCTAAATACCTTCCTGATGGCTTCAGGTACCCCCCCATGGCTGAAATTCCCTTCAAAAACTACCTAAATACCTTCCTAATGGCTGCAGATACTCCCGATGGCCGAAATCCCCTTCAAAAACTACCTAAATACCTTCATGATGGCTTCAGATACTCCCCATGGCCGAAATCCCATCAAAAACTACTTAAATACTTTCCGGAAGGCTTTAGATACTTAAAATGATTTAAATAATGAATTAACATAAATAAAAATTATTAAAAAGAATTAAAATAACTGAAAAAAGCTATCTGGGGGACGGAAGGCCCTGGGGAAGAGGGGCGAAGGGAAAGGGGGCGTGGCCTGCCGGGGAGAGGGCCCCCACTCGTTTTATTAAGGCGCCACTTTCAAAGTTAATTATTTTTATTTAAACGAAAACTTTTTTATAATGTTTTGATCATTTAAGGGGTTTCTGACCATGCTCTATCCGAATCCGAAGAGAGCTAAGCTCTGGCTCCTTTCCCCTTCGAGTTATAGTTGGCTTCAGACAGACGGACACCACAACAAAATTATTATAGTTGATGCCAAAATGTTCGCAGTAGGCTAATTGGTAAGAATGCAATCGAGTCGCGAAAAGTAGCGAAAAATAAAAATAAGGGAGGTAGGAAAGTTGAAAAGTCGGCTGGGGGGTAGCCTAGATTGAGGCCAGGGCTGGTCACTTCGGACCCGGGTCGGACCCGGACCCGTACCCGGACCAGGACCCACCCGGACCCGCATAAATTTGCATGGGTCCGGGTGGGTCCGGGTGGGTTCGGGTAGGTCCGGGTCCGGAAATGCAGCAAGATGCAAATGTAAAAGCATCCTCTTCTTCTTCATCGGATCTCTCATCATCGGACGAATAGTTGTCCATCTGTTTTTTCTCGTGTTTTGGGGCTAACTTACCAACCCACAAAAGCAAACCAATAGGAAAGCAATTCCTTGAAAAATGACTAAAAACGGATCAAAACTATACATCGGAAATCATGCAAATGACCCGGACCCACCCGGACCCACCCGGACCCGGACCCGGTCGGACCCATGCAAATTAGGGTAGGTCCGGGTCCGAAATGACCAGCCCTGATTGAGGCAAGCGTGTCCTTTCTGCCTGAGAAATGCCAAAAATCCAACAAAAAATTCCGGAGTTTCGGAAATCCGAATAACGCGCTGCACTCGCCTTTCCGGGCGCTTTCGATAGATACCAAAATTAAAAATCGAACCCGGAATTTTTTTGGGACCTCCTAGAGTGCCGTACGGCATTATTAGGCAACATTTACCCCCCCGCTAAAAATTAGTAAAGTCCAGAACCAAAACTACCGCCCTTCCCCGCCCATTCCTCTATGTCATTTGCGGTTAATTGACACCTGTCGTTTCCAGGCACGTGGGCAAGGACGACATGCAGGCGTTCCTGAAGAACGGGCCCAAGAATCGGTCACCGGATGTGCCATGCGTCGACAAGTCGCGCGTCATCCTAAAGCACTACGGCCCCAACTACATCCATGCCAACTACGTGCATCTGTACGGCTCGACTTTCATCTGCGCGCAGTTGCCGACCAGCGAGACTGTCGCCGACCACTGGCTGTATGACATTTCACTAATTTCCCGGGCCTTGCTAATGGTTCCGATCCCGGTACTAGACTGTTTTCGGGGGGGGTTTCGAGATTTCGAGAATTGGCAAGACGTGCTGGACTCGCCTTTCCGAGAGATTTCGATAGAACCCTAAAACGTAAAAATCGGACAGGTCTGCGGCCGGCTAGGGCGGGGGGATTTTTTTGGGACACCCTGTAGAGTTATAGCCTACCGTTTTCTATGCGATTTTAACACCTTTTTCGGCTATCTTTTTGGGCTTACAATCCGCATCCGAATTCCGCAAAAATTCCGCAAAAATGAACAACACAGTCTTGTTCATAATTCAATTCTCTATCGAATGACTGGGTCTCGAATCGTTTTGCCGATGACACCAAAAGGACACTCCTTGTTAGAATCGTCGAATCGACTTTAGGCTCGGAATCCCTCATTTCACTTAATATCGGGGGCTATTTTGCGTTATAAAAATCAGTTAAATCAATTCGTATTTGATTAATTTTGATCCAAAAAATTTTTAGGGGTAAAGAAGCTTTCCTGCATCATTTTCACTTCATATTTTAAGGGTCGGCGCCGACGAAAACCTTATGAAAAACGGATTATAAAGTCTATTTTTGGCGTATCTCAAAAATTGCTGTAGCTGGCGTGCTATAACTCAGGATTGTGGTTACTTACGGTCTGATACACCTCTGGTCCAATTTTGGGACCGATCGGATAAAATACGGCAAAATTCCGGAGGGGAGCTTTTTTAGGACACCCTGTACTAACGGTGGCGGTTTAGGATGATCATGCAGGCCGATTGCGAGTGCATAGTAACGCTCAGCGACCCCAGTGAAAGCGACAAGTTCACCCCCTACTGGCCGACCCGCGAAAATCGGATCAAGAAGCTTGGCGACTTCACGATCCGAATGTCGTGTCTGGACCACGTAAGTCGGCGACAGCTTCGTGGGCTGGTTCTTTAGGATCTCCGGGGGGAGAGGGGGAACCAAATTTTTTTCGGTATAAGCCTAATTTTTTTTATAAATAACGGATGCGTTTCTAAATGGTTTTTAACTATACCTAGGCATAAAAACTAGACGAATTTTAATTTAAAAAATAGAGTTTTGTTCGAAAAATCCGAAAAAAGACCCAAAATGATCAAATTTTCGACTTTTTAAAACATTTTTATAACTTTTTTCGCGGGGACTTTTTAAAAAAATTTTCTAAAATACGGAAACACATTCAATATTGGTTTTACCATAACTATTTTTATCACATTATTTTGAGCTATAATTAAAACCTATACATGGAGACGTTTTTGAGTGACATCCCAGGTTTGAGCATGACCAAGCGTATCTTGTGCAGCATTTTGCGCTGATTCCGAATCTGTTTAATAGGAATTTTGCACAAGATGAGCTAATTACTTTTGACAAAATACTTTCTCCGGAATTTTCCAGGTCTCTATACTTTGCAATTTTAAACATTTTTGCCCTAAAATGCGCTGTAACCTTTGCAAACTTCCGATTAAGCAAATTTGAAAAGCAGATTTGGAATCAGCGCAAAATTCTGCGCAAGATAAGTTTGGTCATGCTCAAAACTGGGATGTCACTCAAAAAGGTTTCCTTGTTAGCATTCGCCAAAATGTTTTTGTGTGTTTCCAGCACCTGTCGCCCACGCTGCAGGGCTCCGTCACGTGGTCCCAGTACGACGTGTCGCTGGATGGAAAGGACATACAACGCATTGACCACTATCACTGGACGGACTGGCCGGCGGGTGGGGTGCCCCGAGACTTTGCTGGCCCCATCGAACTGCTGCTCAAGCCTGTGTCATACACTAGGTAATAGTTCCAGTTTCCACCCATCTCCTGTCTCGGTTTTTGAGTATTCGTGGGGGCGACTTTGGTTGGAGTGCAGTTGACGCGGTGCTGGGCTACCACGGGGGTTAGCGGGGAAACCTGGCTTAGCACCGAAACCTCATCCGAAGTGCGATAATTCATCTGATGCAGTATTTTACGCTGATTCCGAATATGCGGCTCATTCGTACATTACTTAATTCATTTTCGAGATATAAGCCCCTCATAAAAATCAAAAGACGGTTATTTAGGTTATTTAACTATTGCTAAGCATAAAAACTACACAAATTTGAATTAAAAAATTTATTTTAGCTGGCAAAATCCTCTAGAACCTTTAGGATTCGCGGTGGGCGGGAAGGACCCAAAATGAACAAATTTTCGACTTTTTCAAACATTCTTCTAACTTTTTTCAAAGTAATACAGTTAAAAGTTCCTAAATACAATGTGAAAACACGTTATATTTGATTACTAGTTTAACCGGACCGGAATTTTCAAAAAACCCTGGTTGGTCAACCCCGGTTGGCTGATTAAAAAAATCCAGCAAACGTTTTAGGCGGAACGCACTAAACCCAATTGCAGCAAACCAATCCTCGTCGAATCGTTGCTGGGCGTCGGCCGCCCCGGCGTACTGGCCTTGTTGAAGTACGCGCTCGACCGCACCAAACCCCACTACTGCTTTGCCGGGTTTTTGGATGAAGACCTGCAATATCTGCGCGAGTATCGGGCCCACCTCGTCGAGACGCCTTGGCAGTACATCTACGTATGCATGGCCCTTCTCCAGCACTTCGAACAGGTGCTTGCTTCGATCGCGGCGTTTTCTGGGGGAAAAACACCCAAAATAATTATACTTCTTCGTAAAAAAGTCCCATAAAAAAAGTCTTTTATATTTCGAAATTAAAAAAATCTGACTTTTTTTAGTTATTTTTCAATCGTGGGAGACAATCCATGAACAGACAATGCAAAAATGCAAAAATGTGTTTCTGGTCTTTAGATGCCTGGCCGCGGGTTCACCGACGAGAGGAAGAAGAAGTTCAAGGATGAATGGGCGCCCGCCTACCACAAGTTCGCGAAGGAGGCGGAGGCCCAGCTGAAGCGAGGTGGGGGAACATTTGGCGGCTGCGGTGTAGTGCACTAGAGCCTAGCGTAACTCGGCTCCCCGTTGTTCTAAAAGGGAGTAAAGGATGCAAAACTACTCACCAGTTCTAGCCGAACATTTTGATATACTTTACACGCTTAAAAAACGAACCATCTAGCATTTCGCCGTGTTACATCCAATCGGCCCCAAAATTGGTCGAGAGGTGTATCAGACCCTAATACCCATACCTTTTTTTTTGGGAATTCTGAACAGTTTTTCCGGCTATCTTTTTTGGACTTTCCATCGATTTGCATCGACTTCCGCCTGCGAATCCCTAATTTCGCTTAAGAACTTGGGCAATTTTGAGTTTTAAAAATAGCCTAGATCAAAGCTTATTTGATTAATTTTAGCACGGAAAAACATTAAAAAGTTAAAGAAGGCCTAGCGGATCTTTTCACTTAATGTTTAGGGGGTCTAATTCCACGAAAACCCTATGAAAAATCTAAAATAAACTATTTCTGCTATAACTCGAGAACTACTATAGCGACAGGGCTATAAGTCAGGATTGTTGTTATTTAGGGCCCGATACACCCCTGGTCCAAATTTGGGACCGATTGGATGTAACAGGGCGAAATGCCAAATGGGTGGTTATTGCTTGCTAGCGAACCATAAAAAATACTTTAGAAACATTGAAAGTTTGCAAAACGTTGACCTTTTTGCCCATTTTTTATACTTCATTCTTGACCAAAAAAAGGACAAATTTTCGAAAATTGCGGGTTTTTTAGCTTTTACATATAAAAACTATGTAAAATGCTTAAAAAATAGGATATATTTTGTTATGAAGCCATACGGAATTACTGGCACAAACTTGGTCCACCCGCTAACACTCCAGCACGCTAGACTCTTCCCGTGTCGATTCTGAACGACGGTTCCTGACGTTTATCGTTGCTCAGATGCCGCAAAGAAGAAGTAGCAGCCGTCCGTTCGGCCGTCGATCCACTTCTCACTCATCCTTCCCGTCAACCGTCACGCACCGAAAATTACTCTCTCCCGCTTAAAGCTACGATAAGCCACGCCACCCATAATCTCGTCTTTTGTGTTTTATATCTGGTTTCACGTGCAAATAAAGCTCTTATTAATGTCCCGAATGTTTTTGTCAAAGCTCGAAGAATGGGCTCTGTATCCCGCCGACAATTTTTGGACAGATTGGAAGAGTTTCCTGGGCATAAAATGCTCTAATTCTCCGCCAGCTGAGGAAATCGATTGGATTTTCAATTCGTTCTAATTCTAAAACTTTTCCGGTACTGTTCTATATTTCGGGAAACTGTGCGGGGGAAAATGTTCTTCGTTCTGTTATAACTGTTTTAAAGGATACTATTTTGAGTTGTAATTAAAACTCTTAGTATATTTTTTTGCTGCTCCATCGAATGGCGTTGCGAAAATCTGGAGAAAATCGCGAAAAGATGGAAGTTTCCGCGAAGCATATCCCCCCCCCGCACAGTTCCCGCCCCCCCGCGAAATACAACAGAACCACTTTTCCTATGCCTGGCTTGGTACCACCTGACCGACACTGACCTCCCGATGCATGAGCGATAAAATTCTGCTATGCAAAACGGCGCTTCAACATACTGTATAGCAAGCGATTCGAGAGAGATAGAGTGATAGAGAGAGAGGGAGAACGACAGAGAGAGAGCGTGAGAGTGGGGGCGAGAGAGACAGAAAGAGAGAGAGAGAGAGAGAGATATGGAGGGAGGCAGAGAGTCCCAAAAAAGAAGAGTACCAGCAGCTTGCTTTTTTTTCTACCGGGTACGAGCCTTGCTAGTACTTTTAGACTTCAATTATATTGGCGCGTTGACGGCACCACCTGGACGACGGCCATCAACGGCTCGACCAGCTCCAACGGCCACCGCTTCCATCTAAAAATGGAAAAAAATGGAGGCAGTGGATTTTATTTGATGTTTTGGAAGGATAAATCTTTGGCTTCGCATCGCGTGAAACATATGGAAAACATTGAAAACGGCAATAACCGGAGTCGGATAGTTCGTGCAAGCACGCACCTTTGCTTGCCCAAAATTTGCATCAGCTTCTTTGCATAACCGGAATTTCTTTTCCGGAAGCGGGACAAAATCAGCCCCATCCACCCCCGGCTCGCCCCCTCACCCGGTCGTGCAGCATGGCCGAGAAGACGTCCAAGAAGAGTTCCTGTTCCCCGAACCCTGTATACTTTTGACACATTACCAAGGTTTCAGCAACCGCTTCGCGGCCTTTCAACCCTCGCCCCGTGTAGGAACTCGGGAACCCATAAAAACTATGGGCTAAAGTTTAGTTTACCCCTCCAGCCCAAAGCAGAATTGAAAACGGGAATTTTTCGTCAAACGACTAACTCGGCATGATAATTGGGAAAAGCTAAGAGTTTACTTTACCTCCCCCCCACAGCCGAAGGGTCTCAAAGTTTTCGGTATTTTTGCTTATTTTGTCGGGATTTTTGCAGCGCCATTCGATAAAGCGTCGAAAATATACTAAGGGTTTTAATTTGAGCCTACAATAATCCTACCTTATATAATTTTGGGGTGTATCTCTGTGTGTGTGTGTGTGTGTGTGTGTGTGTGTGTGTGTGTGTGTGTGGATGTCACTTTCGAGGCCCGATTTAAGGGCCTTCCCCTGGATAAAACGCGCTGATTTTTTGTCACTTGGGGGAATCGACCCTTTTCTTTGCGATGGCGTTTTCAGAATTTCGATAAAATACAAGTTTACAAAGTTAAAGCCGGTTTTATTCATTTTTGGGGTATTTGCATAATATGAAAAAGTACAGATTTCCTCATTCTTGCAATTTGCCCGCGCGTGGTCGGTGGGGGAAGGGGTCCGAAGGACCCGAGCTATCGGAAAGTCAAATTTTTCATGCAAAGGCCCAATTCCATCGCCCAAGGCCCGCGAAGCGCGTTTTGGGCGCTGGTGTAGAATAAAAAAGTTATAGCCAAAAACTTCCGGCTGGGGGGGGGGGGTAAAATAAACCGTAGCCTGGGAAAAATAGTCCAAAAGGACCCCCCGGTCCACCCCACCTACCGTAACTCGGCTCCGCGTGATCCTACCGTTTTGCAAAGTATACCAAAATATTCGGGAGAGCAAGGCGGACATTTTGGTATACTTTACACACCTGTGAACTGACAGGGAGTTGAGATACAAAATTTGGTTGCCGGCTGGGGGGGAGGGGTAAACTGCACTCTAATCATGCCTTCAGCCTACTTCTATCCAAATCATACCAGGACGACGAAATTAACATTTCTACGCACTTCACGGCATATACTCTCAAGAAGACGTTCGATCAACTCAAGGCTGAGTTTGCTAATGTCCCCAGGTTTGTGTACCGATGTGTATTTTTGCCGTACGTCAGTACTATGAATTTTATGGCGTTTTTAGTCGTTTTTCATTGCTAGAGCGGTCCGAAAAAAGTAACCTGCCCATTCCAGGGACGTGAAAAAGGAAGACATGACGATGTTCCTGAAGAACGGGCCCAAGAATCGGTCACCGGATGTGCCTTGCGTCGACAAGGAGCGCGTCGTCCTGAGGCACGCCGGCCCTCACTACATTCATGCCAACTACGTGTACCTGTTCGGCTCGACTTTCATCTGCGCGCAGTTGCCGACCAGCGAGACCGTGGACGACCACTGGCTGTATGACATTTCACTAATTTTTAGGACTTGCTACTGGTCTAGCCCCTTGGTCAGAAAAACCTCAGAAAATCCGGTTAGAGTGCAGTTTACCCCCCCCCCCCCCCCAGCCGGCACCCAAATTTTGTATCTCGGCTCCCGGTTCATCTAAAAGTGTGTAAAGTATAATAAAATACTCGCCAGAGCAAGACGAACATTTTTGTATACTTTACAGACCTGTAGATGAACAGGCGGCCGAGATACGGTAGGTGGGGTTCGGCTAGGGGGAGGGGCTAAACTGCACTCAAGCCGAAACTCCGCCCGTTTTGTAAAACCCTAGTAAACGTACGAAAACTTTCACAATTTTGAGAATCGAAGAAAGACAGATACCTAAATCGTGAGAACCGGACACTTCTGCGGCCGGCTAGGGTTGCGGCATTCTGGGCTTTCCTAGCAAGAGAAAAGCAGCGGCAATTTGATGAAATCCTAACAATGGGAGTTTAGAATGATCCTGCAGGCGCAGTGCGAATCCATCGTAACGATCAGCGACCCCAGTGAAAGCGGCAAGATCACCCCCTACTGGCCGACCCGCGAAAATCCAGTAAAGAAGTTTGGCGACTTCACGATCCGATGGTATTTTACGTGGAACGTAAGTCGGCGATAGCTTTGTGTTTTCTCGTTTGTTTCGATCCTTAAAACGCGATTTTTGTGAAAAACCCTTGGTTAAAAAAGCATCAGACTATCCGCCCGTTGTTGTAAAAACATTATAAAATGATAGAAAAATTCCGACATTTCGAAAATCGGCCAGACCTGCTGGACTCGCCTCTCGATAGAAGCCCTAATCGTAATAATGCCTCTTGCCATTTGCCAAAAAGTTTTGTGTTTCCAGCACCCGTCGCCCAAGCTGCGCGACTCCGTCAAGCTGTCCAGATATGAGGTCTCGGTGGATGGACAGCAGCTAAACAACATTTACCACTATCATTGGACGGACTGGCCGGCGGGCGGGGTGCCCCGAGACTTTGCTGGCCCCATCGAACTGCTCAACCGTGTGTCACACAATAGGTAATTGTTCCGAGCTAGAGTGCAAGCCCCCCAGCCGGCACTCAACTTTTGTTTCTCGGCTCCCTGTTCATCTACAGTTGTGTAAAGTATACCAAAATACTCGCCAGAGCAGGACGACCATTTTGGTATACTTTACACACCTGTAGATGAACAGGGGAGCCGAGATAAGGTAGATGGGGTCGGCTGGGGCGGGGGGTAAACTGCACTCAAGCCTTGTCCGGTTTTCCACCCATCTTCTGATTTGGTTTTTGAGTATTCATGGGGGCGACTTTGGTAGAGTCCATTTTGCCCCGTTCTGGGTTGTTAGCGGGGGGAGGTGGATTTTTAGCAGAGGGAACACCAGGCTTATTTTATAAAGAGCTGATGCTTTCCGTTTGTTCTTTATTGGGACACACTGTAAAACCGGATACTAAGAAAATCAAAGGAACGTTTTAGGCAAAACGCACCAAATCCAATTCCAGCAAACCTATCCTCGTCGAATCGTTGCTGGGCGTCGGCCGCCCCGGCGTACTGGCCTTGATGCAGTACGCGCTCAACCGCACCACAGCCAACTGTTTTCTCGGGTTTTTGGATGAAGACCTGCATACGCTGCGCCAGTATCGGGCCCACCTCGTCGAGACGCCCTGGCAGTACATCTACGTGTACATGGCCCTTCTCCAGCACTTTGAGCAGGTGCTTGCTGGGTCACCCAGAAAACACGTCAATGTGTCGAATAACGTCGGAATTGAAAGTGTCGAATTTGTCGAGATATCATATCACCGAAATTTTGCGTAGATACGGTCCGGGAAATCGGTACTGGACTGGTAGCGGGCGCTAATTTTTATCACTCCGCCTATCTACCTACTCTAGAAAATGGGTATATGTCGGCTACGCGGGGGGGATTTTACGCGGGGGGTACGGGACAGGCAGACATTTTTGGATGTTTTCGTTATTTTCTCGGAATTTTTGCGACGGCATTAGATAGAGCATCGAAAAATATACTAAGAGTTTTTGTTTTAGCTAAAATTAGTGTAATATAAAAAAGTTATGGCAAATACAAAAATAAGCTTTGAAAATCGGCTTGAGCGGCTGTTTTTGACAGTTGCGCTATTTTTTCGATATTTTAAAGATGCCATTCGATAGAGCAACCAAAAATATACTAAGAGTTTTAATTTTAGCTCAAAATAACGTAATATAAAATAGTTATAACAAAAACAAGTATTAAACGTTGTTCCACGGAGGACATAGAAGGAAATCAAGATTTCGACATTTTCGACATTTTTACAAAATTTCTTTACCCCGCTTCCCCCCCCCCTCCAACCCGAAAGTCCTTATTTATTTCTTCCTAAAAAAGCAAAAAAAAAGGCCCCTCTCCCTTTATATACCCCTCTACTTCCGGCGCAGCAATTCCCCTAACAAACAGGGTTTTACAAAACTAAATTTATATAAAATGGTATTCAATTTTATCGTGCAGCGATTCCGCCCCTTCTTTACCTAGTGACTTTCTTCCCTACCGAAAAAATGCCCCTAAGGCGTAGGCGGAAACCAAACAGAAGGGAACACACACACACACACACACAGACACTATTTTTAAAAATTCGACAGAGCGTCGAAAAATATACTAAGAGTTTTGTTTGTAGCAAAAAAGAAACGCAAAAAATAGTTAGCACGGCCCCAACAGTCCGTCCCCCCCGCGTAAAATCCCCCCCCTTCCCCCGCGTAGCCGACATATACCTAGAAAATGAGTTTCCGGTAGTTTGTCATTGCTAGTAAGCCATGAAAAAATATTTTGAAATTTTGGAAATTATGCAGATTTCTCTACCTTTTTAGTTATTCCCAGTCCTGAGAGATAATACTTGAAAGGAAGACGCCAAAATGTCGAAAAATTTTCAGATGCCTGGTCGCGGGTTCACCGACGCGAGGAAGAAGAAGCTCAAGGAGGAATGGATGCCCGCCTACCACAAGTTCGCGAAGGAGGCCGAGGCCCAGCTGAAGCGAGGTGGGGGAACACTTGTATACGAGCTTTTTATGGCTTAAAATTATGTAAATGCTTTGAAAATGGGTTCTATTTGGTCATAGGGCCGCACGGAATTACTAAGAAACCCCCCGCTAACAGTCCAGACCCCTAAACTGTGCCCTTATCCATTTTGGGTGGACTTTTTGACGTTTCTTGCCGTTTAGATGCCGCGAAGAAGAAGTAGCAGCCGTCCGTTCGGCCGTCGATCCACTTCTCACTCCTTCTTCGCCCACCGTCATGCACCGAAAATTGCTTTCACCCGCTGGAAGCTAAGATCGCCACTCCACTTATCATTTCGTCTTTTGTGTTTTATCGGGTTTCGCGTGGGAATAAAACTGTTCTTAAGGTGTCGATCGAATGAGATTCGGACTCTTCTCCTGGTTCCAGCAGAGAGGGAGAGATATTGGAAAGATAGGCTTCACAGAAGTAAAAAACGTCTTAAGAATAGTAATAAAGCGCCGCAGGCGGAAATTTCGGGTGTGTAAAGTATACCAAAAATTTCACCGTGCCCCCGGTGCCCCCCTTACGGGCCTGCTAGTACCTGAAACGACTATCAGTTATCCTGACTCTAGATGCGTCGATGGTATGACCTGGATGACGGCACGGCCATCAAACGGCTCTACCAGCACCTCGGCCTCCACCGCCACTCATATTGGTGCCACGACATTTGCGCCCTGACACATGCGCCCCGTTTGTTCGGACAGCGACACTTGCGCGAGTGTCGCGGAGCCCTAATATCACCCCCACCACCGCTTCCATCTAAA